CAATGGAGGACCTCGTGATCAACAGCCTTTATACCTGTAGCGTAAAATGCCTCCAATAGAGTCTCATATGTACTCTTGAAGAATTAATCTTGATGAGCTGAATGCGCGCAGCTGAAGAATACGTACTGCTACTGCGAGTACGGATAAGACAACTAACTTTCTAATGTTCTCACCGCATCATTGTAGTCTATCTTCAGTAGCTACCAGGCTACAGAGTGAAGAATGTTTGAACGAAGATAGTAGTTGACCATTGACCGAAGCTCGAGCTGTTAATTTTATATTTCCGTGTCTGCAAGCCGTTACGTTAGACTGAGCAACTCAACTCTATATATATATATATATCTGTGTGCCATAATTACGACGATGCCTCTACAGTTGTTTTAATATATATTCTGCAGTAGCGATCCTTATGACTCGATTTCGACCGTAGTTAACTGTTTCGCTTGGTTTGACCCGTGAATTTAACCATGTTCCTGTTAGTTCAATACAATGACTCATAAACAAAGGATAAATGATTATAACTTTACAATCTTTCTCGAAAAAAATCGTCCGTTTAACTGGCAAGCTGACTAATGATAAACAAACACTTATTAAGTGTCAAGTAATTTTACATTTTACTTACTTGTTAACGGGCTTTGCTGCCAGCAGCTTGCCATCGCTAACAACTGCTAAGTCCAGCCTTATTGGTTTATTACGAGGTATGCAGGTGGTGATACGCTATCATAACTTATCTTAACGCTAAAAATATATCTATATACGTCTAGCTATGTGATTTATTGCCCATAAAAGCAGGGATTTATCGTTTTTGTAGAATGATTTCCAAGTTATCATCGCATGTTTATAAGCCTCAGAAAGTCCTTGTCCTGTTGATTCATCCGTCTGTCTATTTGCTCTAAGCAGGTGTTACTTATTGGCTGGCTTGCGATTATTATCTCTCTGTCTCTGCGGAAGCATCTTTACTAAATGCAAAAGTACAGGCAGATTTCTCTACTATTACCGGGGTGTGGTTAGCCATTTGGCGTCTGCTTTTTTTTTGTATTTATTTTTCGACGTCGCCACAGTTGCGGCCCTATCCAAATGGGGCACACAAACATCAGGCCGTGCCAAACAGGCATCCCAGCCAGTCGGCTCTCAGGTGCGTCGACGCTGTTAGGAAGGTGGAAACGTATGCCGCCCGATAGCAGCTCGGGCTTTATCAAATTAACGTTCGCAAAATATTGCCCCAATTACTATAAGAGACACTTAATATCTTGATCGGCACTGGCGCTTTTTAAATAATAATAATGATAATAATTAATTATACTGTACAGTCAGATAACTAGAGTTATGGTGGTGCTAGATATATAAAGTCTCAGAGAAAGGTCGCATACACGGGAATTCATATAGCTTTGCCAAGTAAGTGAAGGCGCGACCAATCGACGTTAATATTCCGTTTTGTGAACGTACACGGAAACGATTTTGTACTTACGTTGTACTTTTTTGTATTTTTCTATGTTCGTTTATTTGTGCTTATATAGTCATCTTTGTTTGACTGTAAGTATGCCTCAGTAGAGTTTAGTTTAAAATATATCGGTTTATAATTAAAGTAGGGATTGCTCACACTGGCAAAAACTTTTCTCCTTGTAACTAGAAATTTTATCTGTTCATAGCTATAAGCCTACCACGTTCTAAGTTATCTATTTTATTACGAGGACTATTAACTAGAATACACTTTCATTGCGAGATACAGATAGCGTTACTCATGAGATTCGCAAATCGTTTTCAAAGTTAATAATAAATGAACAAGATACTAATTATAGTAGTAAATAAGCATCGACTGTTTTTCTAAGTTTACACAGACGCAGGAACATATTGTTCCTATAGTTGTTTTTGCTTTCCCCTCACACACAAATAACTTGGAACTTTCTTCATACATCTGTTTGAACAATAGCTGTCATTCCAATAGCGTACACAAAAAAGACCGTTCAAAGTATTCTATACTCAATTATTTTTAAAATTTTTGTTTTCTGCCGGATACTACCCTCAAGCTGACTTCGAAGCTTACCGGATCCAGTTGAAGCAGTCGTACACGTTCACCTTTGTCTCTCAATATGGCTCTGTTGGATGTTAAGCGACAAAATCACAAATAAACCAAGAGTCGCATTTGTTATCAGCTGACGATCCGTGAGCGGTTATCTGTTTTGTGACAGCCGTCTATATTGATTTGGCGAGACGCATTATTAGAGATCTAAAAAAAGCTTCTCTAATCCAATGAATACGACAGCGATAGCTGTAAGACACGTTTTTGGTGTATGTTTTCATGATTTACCTTTGAAGCAAGGTCACCTCTTGTTTTCAGATGGAATTTATGATGTATCAGTAGATTTATGCACTGTTTATCTTAATTATTATAAGCAATCGATTTTGTGGGATCGTTACGGTACGATAGATTGTTTTCGTTCTCTATTATAATTCGGATAACGTTAAAATTACAAAAATAAAAAAAAAAAAAAAAGCTGTGCAAGAAAGCCATTTTTGGTGCCGGTATGTTCTCTTTAGATATTATAACGACCCTATTTAATTTGTGAACCCTGCTATATTATTTTTGCCAAACCGAAAATGAGGAAGTAAATAATTTTTATGGAGTAATAAAAGAACAAAACGTGAACTATATCTCTTTGACAGTCTTCCACCGTTTTCCTTGCCCATATGCGTGCACTTTTTAGGTGAATTTAAGGCGTATGCATATGAAGATTCTCAAGCAGACCAACGCATATACTTCGAAACAATCAATGATCGAAACAATCAAAATTCAATGGCGTGGCTTCACTAATTATTTATAAGGGAAAAGTCTTCTAGCTTCACGTTCACCCAGCTAGTTCTTCACCTTGAATTCTATATGTTCGTAGGCACTTGGGAACGTGAAATGTCTGTATTTCATCTTGTTTTCTTCTTGTAAGTAGTTTTTGAACAAAGAGCCCGACTCAATTTCGTGTTGACTTGAGTCACATGTATTTTATCCTAAATCCTTTTGATTATCTCTATTGAGGTGCTAAAAAAAGACCATTTCGGTCGAAAAACTGACTGGAACAATAGCTCAAAATAAGCAAGTTGAGGACGTTCCGTGAAGAAGTTTATTTCAATACATATGACGACCACAGAAATGATGAGACAAGATTTCCACAACTCGGTCTACTGGTAACAACTGGTAGCTTTAACATATGGTTAATATGGAAAACAAGTCAAGTCCTTATGTGTTTACCTAGATGCTGTCACTTACAAAGTGAAAACATTTAAATTCGTAAAATAGATACTCCTCGAGATACAATATAATATATCCCCTATCGTGTTTTTGACGATTTTTGAGTAGCCAGATCCTAGAACTGAAACTTATCCTGAAAGTTTTGTAAGAGCTTCAAAGAAGCAAGTTATGATTGGATAGTAGGGACTTCATACAGCAAAACTGGCACAAAATATACGAGAATCTTCGCCTTAGGAGATCATTTTTAGGATCGGCGTGGGAGCCGATTACGGCAAAAATTTTTAACTGCTTTCACCTCAAAATTGCAATTTTTAAGTAACAGGTAAATGAATTTCCCTTTATGAAATGATTTGCCCTAGCAAAAGTAGATCTCAGTTCCTTCACACGAAAGCCTTTATATATATATTAGGATGTGACAAAAGAACACAGTAAGCTTTGAAATGGAATAACTTTTTGTTGAATTAGTTATGATGATTCTTTAATATGCCTTATAGACGGTGTCCATCATCTTTTACACATTTATCCCAGCGTTCCTCTAGGCAACCATACAGCTACCACTCGCGTTCCCACATATAGTTTCTCCATCTACAGTATATCTATCGTGAAATACATTTGTCCGCTAGTTCTTCTTTGTAGGGCTCGGAAGGCCCCATAATCGCATAGATTTAAGCTAGGGCGAGTTATAGCCAATGTTGTATATGTTTTTTTTCAATCCAGAAAATAATTCCGGCATGGCAAATAGATGTGACGTTGTCATCAAGTAACCAGACTGCGTGCCTTCGATTGTGGTTCCAATGGTCAATGGATCTTGTAAAATACTTGAGATGGTGAGCGAGTATCGTTCTCGGCAGTTATCTTATGCAGATGCCCCTGATGTCGATTGCCAGTATTACCGTCACTGTGTGCGCGAACCCACCCAATACTGCCACCGAATTCGGGTTCTCTTGAGGGCAACACCGTTTTCTTGTCTGGCTCCTTCCTAGTTAGCGGCGTAGGTTGAGTTATGGCTCGTCTGTGGGGGACGTACGCTTCACGCGGTTTTGGAATATACCAGACGCATCCCCAACTGACTCGATGCTAAATCACGGGAAACCTACTTTTCACCTAGTTTTTGCATTTTCAGTATTTGGGTTATGATTCTATAACATGTGAAATGACAGTTGTTACCGACGAAACCCTTAGACTCCAGTTTCGTTTCGTGAATAGCTTGCTCGACTACGGCAATGCGCTCTTGTCCTTCGGATTCCGATGTTTAATTATCTTATCACTAATTTTCAATGCTCCAATTTTCGTCTTTTAAGCGTTTGCACCATTTATGTATTATACGTTTGCGTAAGGTCCCCCTGCCTAACGTCTTTATCAATCTCCGATAAATTTCCGCACTTTTAACGCGATTTTAACGAAACAAACACTTAATAACTGAACGTTGATCCTTAAGTTAAAAAGTGTTTTTCTTCTGAGCTTATTGCTACTAAAGGAAACGCAGGCAATCTTCTCTAACAGGATTCTAGGTGACCGTGTTTTAGCAGTCAAATTTTAGTTGTTAGCGGAGCATGGTTTTAAAGTTACTCAGTTATAGCTTGCCGTATTCACCTGTGTAATATATATAGGACCTAGTTCGGAACATCGAAAAAATAGGCAGATATCTTAGGCATGATGGTTGCAGATTGTGTTAATGACTTCATAGAAAAATCACATGGCCATGAAGAACTGTTTTTGAGGCGTTATTAACAAGTATGTATTGTGGTGTGTTAAACAGGTGGTCGTAATGGAGGAGTAAAATCTATAGTCGATAGTTAACACTCGCACAAGAGAGGTCCGGGCGCGGACCAAAATGAAGGTCTGCGCAGTTCCTTCGGCATTCGTATTGGCCGTTATATGTAAGTACTATTTGTCACTGGATCATAACTTCAGGGTAGAAAGCACCTAAGAAATAAAAAAAAACATAGATTATTAGTTACTCTTTTGCTTTAAATGAGAATGCTGTTTTTGATATCCTTTTATATCAGACTATAATAGTTAAATTATTAATAATTTCAAACGAATCATCACCATAAATGTGTGTGTAAGTAGTTATATTGATTTCTCGATGAATGAATCAGGTCTTGTAACAACAATGCCGACTGAAAAAAATCGCCACTAGAGTAAGTTATTAGAGAGGGTTACTTGTATGATTATTACGTCGTTTTTTAGAAAAACCCCCAGTACTATAGGGTTACCTCGGCTAAACCCCCAAAGTGGGCTATATCTAAAAAAAGTGATATTGAGCGCATATTCACAGAGCGCAAATGGCGTAAGACGTTAAGGAAACCTCTTCGAGAGTGAGACTGGCTATTACATAGTTATAATTTGGCTGCATGCCTTTGATTCTGTTAAAAGCAGGCTTGCCTTATTTTTTACACTGGACGCTCAGAACAGTACGAGGAAGCTCTGCTTTTTAGAACTATTGGAGATTAATAACCGCTTGACTCATAGGCTATTTGATCTAACTGCAGGATTCAAATGCTGAGCTGAGGTTCGACATAGTATCAGGTTGAATAGGCTCGATATAATATAAATATATAGTTTACTAGCAGATAAAAGTAGCTGATTTGTTCTAGTATATCAAATTGTTTTTATCGCAATCAAACACGACGTACTTGGTAGTCTACGGAGAGTTCAATATAAAACTGGGCTTTAATGAAAAAAAAATTAGGCTTACATGTTTCAATTAGCTGGTAACAGAATACAAATCGATAGCTATTTTACCTGTATACAATAGACTAGGCCACGTCTTCAATATGGCTAGACTGTTAGATCAGCCGTGATAAAAAAAAAATGAGGTTCGATGGGTTGGAGTGAAGTAGATTCTTCCGCTAACTTGTTGTGTTCTATACTGTGCGGCTACTAAGTGTATTTTGTGCTCTTCGTTATTTGAAGTTCTTTTTGAAACACTACGGTGTTCGCTGGTAGTTTCCAGGCTTAGGGGTCCGCAGGAAGGTTCCTTTCACGTATTTATTAAAAGGGAAATAGTGTTTTTATAAATATCATACATTTATTGTATAAAAAATATAATACTATAGATGACATAAAGGTAATATATACGTATATATATGCTTCTCTGTCAAAGGATTACAACGTATGTCATAAGTTAATTGAATGCATTGAGATCGCATTTAGGTTTGTTATTTGAAAAAAATAGAGTAAAAAAAGTAACATTTAGTGTGCATACTATATAACACATCGGCGGTTTACACGAGGCTGCCATACATGACTCCTTATACACACGTCACGATTGTAGACATTACCTGTAATACTTATCACAGTGAAAAATCGCAAGAGGTCATCGTCGTGATATACTTGAAGCTACGTGTTACCTTGCGGAACTAGAAGGCGTGCTCATCTACTGCGCGGAACGTTTGAAGATGTATATTCTGAGCAGATTATTGGAGACTTGCCATTTATTTAATTGTAAAGGGCAATAATACATTTTCGTAATTCACGCATTTAAATCATATCAAAATTACTGGTGATGCTTTCAGGTGTCTGGGTACTGCAGATAGAACGGGCAACCGGTGACAGGGAACTGATTGCGTCGGCAGAGTACGACGACGAATCGGAGCAGGACGACAATCGCCCCTTAGCCTCACAGGTTTTAACACTCAAACTCACTGCATACTATAATGTTATATATAATTAGTATAAATGTATCTTTCAGTGATAATACCTTCGAGATAGGCTCGACTAAACGGTAGGCCGAGCTCTATAAACAGCCGAAAATGTTTTCCACATAATTTGACGTTCACAACAGATTTGCTTCCATTGGAGGATCTAATGTGCCAATAAATTGATTTCATTCCTAGTAGCGTAAACTAATGCTTCTCCATATGTTCTAAATTCAGGATGACAGCAAAGAGATTGCCAATAACTCTATACAAGAACGTCTTCGTGTCTTATAAAGTTAATTAAAGGGTTAAATATGAGATTTCAATGTTACTGGCTTCGAAATCTTGCTCCATTAGTTCTGATTCCGTCACCTCACAGTGTTACATAGAAATAATAGCTGCTGCTTTTCGTATTGTCTGCTTCTGTCTTGTTTATAAGATGTCTCTGTCCCCACATGATCTGATGAGCATTTTAAATAGACTTGAGCAACTCGATAAATTAAAAAAATTCACTGTTTATTACGCGCAAAAGAATCATTTGCTACTTCCCTTATCTAATTTTACAGTTGCTTATAGCCACTTGCTATAGTTCATTGCCCTCCTTGTTCTTTGTCCTTCAAGTATATTATTATCGACCTGATTAGATAGAAAATATTTTATCCTAACTTTGAGTTGCCCAGGTGGGGATGTATGGCGATAAGGAACAGTTTTTACCGATTGCTTTACTCCAAATTTTCCCCAACGTCAAAAAGTGATCCTGTTCGTTTTCCTAATTTGTTTGATTGTGACGAGGGTTTTATAATTACAAGATAATTATTTGAGAATAATAAGGACTCCACAGATAGAAAGTGATTTAAATAGACGCTGACCGTTAGACAAGGTCACGGCCTTATCTGGTAACTTGACTTCTTTTAAAGCTACAGTTTAGGCTAAGTAGAGTGCATTCTTTAGACCGAAGGGGCTATTTAGGTTTGAAAGATCACTTTTGAGAAGCACTTTTAGCTATAGGGTCATACTCATCTCGAATTGTTTCGGCAGCTCATTGGCTTTAGTGAATGATAGAGTGCCGGCTATACGTACGTACATCTTTGTAGTCTGAATTGATAATCCAATGTTATGATCCGAACAAAATTGTAATAGCGCTTTAACAGCGCTGATCTGATGCTTAATTATCAGCAGATAACTAAGGGACGAAGTATCAAAAAAGACAAGCTGCTGAAGAACGGCGGTAGCTGAGCATACTTCTACAAATATTATATACTATGGTTTCAATTCGGTAAAACTTTCGGTACAAAGACATTGCCTTAGCAGGCTTAGTATCAATGCATCATAAATAAATATTTAAGTAACTGTACAGGCAATAAAGCTCTATTGAATTCAAAGTTTTCGGCCAAGTATCATTCAAAACCCAACTGATCTTGTTCCCTCTTCCTTGTTACGTATTCGCGGATAGAATGCGGATAATCGTCCTTATTGTATAGTGTAGTTAGAGGAGGCGCAATATTGCAGCACAGAAGCAGAGGTGAAAAGGTGTAATTGTTATTATGGCTCGTTCTGATCGTAGTGTTCTTACCGTAAGCTCAAATAATTGAGATTAAACCTTTTTTTTTTTCATAAAACTAACAATGGAGATCACCCAGGATCACTCTGTTTTATCGCCTTTAGACTAAATTTCTAAAGAACTTCAACGTAACTTACTTTCTAAAGTTACTTTCTAGTATAGTCATATGTGGGATGCTTGAGCCTGAAGTGGGCGAGAGCTGAGTTCACTAAAAAAACAGCTACGCTTAGAAAAGATCACGTAAACACCCCTTTTCTGCCCCTCACTCTCTTTCAAGTTTACGTTGTAGCGCGTCACAAACCTACATGCATGATACAACAAATTTATTTCGGGAATTCGACGGCGGTAGCAAAATTTAGCCCACCATCTTTCGGCTGTCTTTAGTCACATCTATTTACAATGCATCCTTGCTATTCCCTTTCAACCCGTCCCTCGTAAATTTTATCTGTTGGTTACACAAAGACCGTATGCACCACGCAGCTAACGTATACAAGAATTTTCCATTTGGTATCATCCATGGACGACACCAAATCCTAAAAGGCAAGTTGTTGTCATACCATAACATCACTCGACAATATATGGCTAGCTGTCATACAATATCACAGTGTGTGTACGTGTTCCTTGGAATTCCGCTGTCTTATCCCGGAACAGCTTTGACAACGCTAAATGCTTTGAATTGGATACTACAGTTATAACCAAAAAAATGCTACCCTTCAGTAGATATCACTTTATCAATATCCAGGTTATGGTGTCTTAACATGTCAGATAGATGTAGTCGGCCATAGGCCTTTTTCTACCTTATCCAATAATGATGTAACGATGTTATCCGTAACCACACAGTTCTTTGAAGGAACGACATAAAAAGGATGACCGAATAGGACCTTCGTTCGATGCAGATCATAACTGATGACAATAGTTAGAACGAAGAACTGATTACTCCGGTTAATTGATATGTGGACCTTCAGTATGTTCGCAAATTACCTGGTATACATCGCCAGATCCTGTTTAAAACCGCTAAGTCAAGGTTATATATATTGTCATTTAGTCACACGGAGTCTGACAGTCGTTATGTCAACGCCCTTTTGCAGTCGCCCGCTATCGTATTCTTTTGTTGTGATTGATGTTCCTTTTGGTTATCCGCCATTTTGTAGTAATGCCAATTTCGAATTTCCAGAGAAGATCAACTAATAAAATCGCATGGTGTTTAAAGTATTTCAGCAGGATATGTTAATTTACTAGCTAAAAAAACAATCGATGCGTTTCTCAGTCTTATATCTATTCATTTTCTTAGTTTAACAAACTTAATCGAACAATCAAAGTATTTGTCTAGTCTTGCCTAGTCGACAAATCAACTATTTGCACCAGATTTCCAAATTCAGGAAACACATCAGGTTGTTTGGGTTCGAAACTGGGCGTTGACGCACTTCGTTGCGTGGTGGAAGGCAGGAGGCTGAGGCAACACTTAACGGCAGTACCTAACGTTAACTCCGAAGCATTTGCCAGATTTTTGTACAGTGTATTGTATTACAAATGTATGTTTCATAGATATACAAGTATTCTGTTGCACCATTAGGCTTAGACAAGCATTAATTTGTCAGTAACATTTGTTTGCTTAATGGTTACAGAACACCGAAAGCAAGAGTCAACAAGCGGGTCAGTACAAGCAGAATGATACATCAAGTTTTGAAGATCGATCCGACGCGGATCCTCTCATGGCGCGGCCTAAAGAGGATCCCTTGCAAAAACTGCTTCCATATATAACATTTGACTGCTTTGGCCGTCTCGAAGGCTATTATGCTGACTTGCAATTTGGTTGCGAGGTTTTCCATTACTGCAAAAAGGAAGGCAAGCGATTTTCGTTCATCTGTCCGCCCAATTCAACGTTTAATCAAAGGCTGATGATTTGCGACTATGACAAGACGGCTAAAGAAACTTGTCTTGAAGCCCCCCGTTACTTCCACCTCAATCAACAGTTATACGGAATCAAAAAAAACTATAAATTCCCTGAGCTTGTCACATCCGAGTCTCAGACCGTGGAAAAGGTCATGATCCTAGAGACAACTACTCCGCTTAGTGCTGAACGCCGCAGCGACGCAACTATGGAGACAACTGAAAAACCTACTCTGTCTCCGGTAACGGAGCAGCCTAAAAAATTGCTAACCCCGACATCAAAACGCGCAAAGATTCGAACAAAACTCACCCGGCCATCAACTGCGGCGCCATCTTTGGCTTCGTCTTCAGACGACAAGCAAAACCCTCTAAAGAAGCCACATAGAAAGAGAAAACCGAGACCTTCGACTAGTCCAAGGCCCGCAAGATTCGAACCGATTCCAGACGAGCCTAAACCAAGCCCCAGAAATAAAGTTCGACCCCAACGACCACTGATGACGCCTGAACTGCAAACAGTCCTCCAAGTTCAACCAGCTCCTCCCGAACATATAAGCCATGCGGCAGCCACGAAACCCGCAGTAAGTGATCTCGAAGAGGTGACTTCGTTTGCTACTTCTGCCCCAACGAAAACCAAAAACGTTTTTACTAATAATGATGTACCTCAGAATTCAAACCCAACTTCCCCTCTATATTCGCATGTACTACTCCCAAATGTTCCATCAGCTATTTCCGTGTTTGAAGATCCTTCAAGATCCCAGTCAGAATTTCGTCCCACAACACCTCCATCTTTACCTCCAATTACGGATGCCGCGGGGCCTCCCTCAATTCCTTCTGTTCCTAACACCTTCTCCGCGCAATCAACTTCTAACTTCCCACCAAATACCCAACTAGACATAAAGCCAGAAAACGTTCGTGTTCCTCAACCTTCATTTGTTGCTTTACGGCCATCGCATAACCACATCGGTCCTGCCGTTCAGACGGAGTTTCATAGACAAAAAGTTCCGAAGAAAAATCGTAAGAAAAACAAACATCCTCCTAAACCAGTGAAGGGCGAAGTATCTGAGTATGATCGAATGCTCTCAGCAGAGCAACCATCAGGCGCCATTCCTTCTCAGACTGTTCAGGGATTCGCGAACCTACCACAGGCACCTGTCCCGCAATCTGACCAAGGTGCGCAGCTGCTCCTTCAACATCAGACATTGCCAAACCAACAAGCGGCTTTACGCCACCAACATACACCATTGCGGCAGCAACCACACATCACCCAGTATCAGGCGCAACACGTGATGAATTCCCCTCCTCAACAATATGAGGCGCCACCGACTCCTCATTTTCAGCAGGCTCCACCGGCTTCAGCAGCATCTCCTAAAAGTGGCGCACGCTTTCCAGCTGAGCAGACCCAGTTTTCGGTTCAGAAACCTACTGCATATTCCAGCTTCGATCCCGGACGTCAGAATACAGCTCCCGAATCTGTCGAAGGCCAGTTTTACAGAAACCCGGAAGAATTACCTCACTATTCAACGGATTTCGGATTTACGTCTACCGCAGCACAGTCCAAAGGAGCTTCTCAGTTCCCTAACTATGCGCAAGACACGGCGCTACGTAGTCCACGGCCCACAGCTGCTCCCCAATCGCAATTTGAATACGTATACCCAGAGATGCAACAAGCCGGTGGATACTCCACAGCACCATATAAATCCTCATTTACCCAGCCACAGTTTGGCCAACCCCAAACATATAAAACACCATTCGAACAAACTCAACCGCAATTTGCGCAAGGAACTCCACCCATGTTCCAGGAGCACCAGAGTTATACACCTGTAGCGCCCTACATCTCTGGTTACGGAGGTCTGTTTGGTACAGCTTCCGGTTCCATTTCCGACGGGTAGGTTGTCCTTCTTTGAAAATGTCACTTTTTTAGAAGATATTGTTTCAACATAATGTAATATATGTACGCAAGCTTTATGACACAAAACAAATTCTTAGGTGCTTCTAGTTATTTTATGATAATGCATGGATACACTTTTTTGGCCCAACTTTAGATTCTTCACGAGCCCGACGCCAGCAAGTGGAACATTCTCTTCTACGCCTCTATTTTCGGAGCAACACATACACCATATTCACTCGAGAAGAAGGAGATCTTTGGAAGACGACACTGAAATGGAAGATATCACTAAATATGAAAGCGGCATCCCCCATTCACGGCAACGAAGGCAGTCGATGTTTTCAATGATACCAAACATTTTTTCGAGAAAATCGCAGCGCCCAAGTCACCCCTTCGCGTCTGCTTCCGCCATGAATCCTACATTTTCCGAAGTACCCGGTTTTTATGGCGGTCGTTTCACGCAGCAGCTTACATCCGAAAGCCAGTTCCCAAATTTTAGCAACACTTTTACGCGTTTCTTCGCCGGTCCGTCGCAGCCACCCTTTGGTGGGTCCGGTGGAAATCATCTAAGAGTTCCTCCAATGTCGATGGGATCTACTGGCCTTTTCTCTCATGGCAGGGGGCCACCTACTATTAACATTGGTGGACCTTCGACCTTCACGGCGGTATCACTCAGCCAGGTGCCGAGTACCTCCGAGCTTGCAATGAACAACAATGCCTTCTTCAATCAAGCCACTCTCCATAAACAAAGTCCGACCAAGATTAGTTTGAGTAAACCACCTCAGGGTATCTTAGGAACCGGCAGTGGAGAGGAGATATTGCCAGCACCTGGTACAATGTCACAAACGGACCTTAAACCTAGTACAACAGCATTGACAGCCCCGAAATTGCCTACTGGTATTCCGCCACAGGCGTTACAACAAAGTGCCGAGGTGGTCGAGGAGGACGATAAAACCGCCATTTCGTATATCCCAATGTCAGGTGGAAAGATTACTGTCACCCTTGACTCTATTGAGGAGGGAGGCACTGCCAAGTCCCCAACACCCTTATCCTTCCCACCAAAACACTTGCGGCCCACCGATCCAAAAGAGGTACTAACGCAAATGAAAAAATCATTGCGTCCTAACATCGATTCAGCTGTAGGGGACTTGACATTACCTAATGACTATATTACACAGGTAACGCCCCCCGGCCTAAAGAAAGAGCCGTCGGTCAGTAATGCTGTCAACGACAAAAATATAATCCCTTACCCAGCGCATATGGTAAGGAGCCAAGAGAAATTCCCGAAGTTTAGCACCCTGCTTCCCAAGACACACATTAACTCATTCAGCATACCACAATTCTTAGTTCCGCAGACACAGTTTAGCCCTCAATTGGATTACCCGTTACGTGATTCGTCAACTCGGGGAAACTACTACCAAAATAGTAAAAATACGATGAAACCAGTGGATTCTATTTCAAACTATGGAAGTTTGTCTGACTCTCTAAATCCAACGCAGCGTCCGATTCCAGCAGTTCGCCAATTACCCCCGATGCCGGCGCATTTAGATCCAAACAGGAACAACAAGAACGAAGATAAGGCAAGTATCTTATCTTAATTAAATCACGATACAGCCAAATTATAAACCTATGACAAAGAAAATAGATGTACAGATACATATACAGTCGATTTCCACTGCTGATGTTTTATGCACTATAAACTAGTGCATTTTGGATAGGTAGATCTTGATCTCTTTGTTTTTAGCTTAATTTATAGATTCCTTTTTAGCGAGACTATAATTTATTAACATTTTCTTTTGATTTTAACTCGAAGGTAAATTAATATTAAACTGTTGTTAACCTTCAAGTACCTCGAAATGCTAATATTTGCCCTAATATTACTACTTTTGATACCCTTTTACGACCAGCCGAAATACTACAGCTAACGTTTGCAATAACTGCAATATATTTCAGTCACAGAAGAGACGTATAAAGACAAGAAAAAGGCGTCCTAAGCCTTCAACCTCAACCCCGTTACCGCCTTCAATGATCGAGGTAGTGACTCACAGTGATTCGGGACTAAATGTGCACCTTAAACCTAACACTGGAGAACCTACAACGCTTCCGACAATTTCCACTACGTCTTCGGATAAACGAATTTGGTACGGAACAACACCCCAACCGCCGCGTTACGAGACGCAGTTCCCTATCAAATTCAACTACATCACACGAGCCCCCATCGGACATGTGTCGCCAACGACTACACGGGCTCCAACCACGTTGTTCGCGCCTACCACTGGTTCGACTGGGAAACGCGTGTATCATAATCTGGTCGTTACTGGGTCATTTGAGCACCGCCTTCCTCAGCGTCTAGATGTAACGAATGCTCCCCTCTATAAGAAGAACATGTTTCCACCCCGTGTAATGGCCACCAACGTTCCGCACGATATGACCGCCTATGCTAAGTACACAACGACGCCAATTCCACCATCTCCCCCGATTATGCGAACGGTTGATTTGAGCACGACTACAATCGAGCCACCGCTTGCAGCGACAACAACAAATACACATTCAAACTCAGTAACCTCCTCGACGAGTACCAGTGGTTCGTCTGCTAATTTATTATCTTCTACCTTTCCCGTAACGACATTCGTTCCCATTTCGACGAATAGTACGACAACGGAAAAGCCCGTCGTCGTTTACCACGTTACAACAACACCATCAGCAACAACAGTGACAACAGCAACACGGATAACCACAACAGAAGCACCTGTTACCACTACGACCGCAAAAGTAACATCAAAGGGAACAACGACAATCACCAGCAGACCTACCGAGCCGTCCACAACTCCTGATGAGATGTTCGATTTCTTTACATTCCCTACGACGGGCCTTCAGAGCGAATTCTCTGTACCGAAGGCCAGTCCGGCCCCGGTTTTCTTACCGCAGAGCGATATTTCGCTAAATCACGATCGACAAGATGAGATCATCGTTATTGACATGGAAAAGGACCACGAAAATCTGACGGCTTCAGCGTCTACGGCAAGCATCTCTACTTTTAAGCCCGTTCTTAAGGTGTTCTCCAATCGTGCAGGGGGGACATCGTGGTACAAATTTAAAGCAATGATTACCAGCACTACACCGCGACCACCGTTGAAAATGCTTAACGCAGTGCCAATTCATGACGGTTACGAGAAAGGCTTTCCTTTCGAGTTTTTTACTGACTTGAGCCTTCTATCAAAGACCACTGGCCGCCCTAAGGTTGGCGTTACGGACTTCCCTCAGCCAGTATACAAGCCACAATCCAGCACTGAACATGATCAAAATGGAATTCGAAGAAAGAAATCGAAGTGAAGATGCATCGATAAAGATGGTCTATTTTCTCCAATCTATTCACCATATCATTGTTTGCTCTGAATCAGTTATTAGAAAATATACAGACAACTTTAAGAACATCATGTTTAGCTCGAGCAAACTTAATTACTTAAATAGGTTTCGATACGTTTCCTAACAAAATGTCGTCAAGCAACTTTAACTTTGCCTGCGTACAACAGCAAGCTCGCCAGCCCCTTCTAACGATGACGAATGCACATGCAAGCTTTTATATCATAATGTTAGATACTTAAACAGCGACGAAAAAAAAAAAAGATACAAAGCCAATGCACAATCCCCAAAATAACCTCTTGCTACATACAAGAGATTATTTCGGGGATTCTCCGAGACGTCCACTGAACTCCCCTCAGATATTGTACGATTTCTCCCCCCTTACGACGACACGAGAGTTGAATAGATGAACTAGTTAAGATCGAGCATAGCAGAATATGGGCCCCAAACCGGTCTTCGTGCTATCGGGAGTAGCGATGGAAGAGTATGTACTGACCTAACACGCAACTGTGTCGTCAAGATTTTCGGCAGATAGATAGTTATTTGACATGGTCGATTTGAACGGTATACCGAGGCCCGTCGATTAGCAGCAGTAATCGTAGTAGTAGTAAAATCTGTATACCTCTAAGTCAGCGTTGCTCCGATAAGCTAACATATCTTACCACATCTCGCCCATCTGTAAATATTTCCTGTTATAGCAGTTCATTACCTTTGTTACAAATGGTGGCTCACTTACTACTATTAAAATTTTTTAAATATAAAACAATAAAAGTTTATTGTGACAAATATTATTTATTGCAGTAAAGATATTTTGACAAATAAACCTTGTTTGTTACAAGCTCTCTAGCGGAATCATTTTAGCGATTCGCGTAGAAAACTAGGAACCACCTCTTAACGAGTATGAAGCACTAGAGACGCTGCCTTCTTACGCACATGGCAGCGGGTGCCGAATGTAGATGTCGCCCTTCGTTAATGTTATTTTGTTAGAATCGAGCGATCGCCCAGGACCCGCTACTAGGCAACATATCGTTTCATGGTTCGACAGGCTATTTCACTGTTATGGTAACATAATAAATTAAGTAAAAAATCGTTTTTAGTTACTCGGTATGGCCAGAGCTAAGTGAGATACGAGAATCTTAGTTGAAACTCATAGAAAGTTGTTATGCGTTTGAAACCGATCTCTGTTTGTGGGATATATATATATATGTGCACTAATTCAGGCCTCTATATATATATATATATATATACGGCTTCAAATGATGTAAAAGGCATATGGCGTGGTATACGTATCTGTTTCAGAGTGAAAATTTCGTGGACACAATGCATCGACTGCCGATACAAATATAATAAGTTTCTAATATAAGTTCTGCTCCTTTTTTTTCGAGTTTGACCTTCAAAGGCTGTTTTTGCGGCCCATAACGCCTCTGTATCAGTTTAGGAAAATCAAGAATAAGAGATTCCCAATGCACGAATCAGAACTATATTAAAAGTCATTCATTCTTATAACCATTTTCTGATTTTTACAAGATAGCCTTGAATGTTATAGCCACCTCGTATACTTACATTCGGCCTTCGAAACGCGGTCTATAACTATAATGTACTAAATTGGTGACTGCTGCTGCTTCTTGCGTTGGCTATCATATCACCTCGTCTCTGTGGTGGAGTATGGAGGAAGCCATCAGATCGTGGGCATTTGTTTATGGGTTCGTTTAGGCTAGTCCAGGCTAGACTAGGTTTGATAGCGTCCTAACGACAATAGTGGATGTAAAGTTCAAAACATGAAGAAGCAGCAGTCACCGAGTTGAATCGCATAAAGCAATCGTTCGATCATTGACCGTATAGATGGGACACCATCTCTTTAGCTAATATTGAGCATCACGGATGTAATCTGTATCAACTAGGTTGGGTTGGGTTGGGTTGAGCTCGTTTTGAATTGTTTCGAACTTTTCTGGGTAAATTTTTTTGTAAATTTCGAACGGGAATTATAAATCAAACAGTTTGATGCCCAAGACTGACAATCGGTAAAATGATCGACCTCTTCAGATCAATCTAAACGCTTTTACTCTATTACTTTTCCCATGTACGTATCAGGCGCTCTGCTCTCTATTAAATTCTATGATGTAGTACAGGGTCCAGGTTGCATAACTCCATTTATAGCTGTAAATTGTCTCTTAATAATAACTTCAATACTTAACAGCGTGGCACATGTGGGCGTGACGAATGTGTCTCATTTCTTCGGATGGAAAAAGCCTCTAGGCCTATGTGCTTATGCGTTCCTGAAGCGGAAAGCAGTGTCAGCCATGAACACAGGAGGCGACATGATTAACTAAAGGACATACTGGGATGACTAAAAATAGCTCTTCTTTACCCGATTTCGCTTCAACTTCTGACACAGAAATGATGAGTTTCTTCTTCGAACGAATGATCCATCTACTTCTGATCAAAAGAGGATCGAGTTCCACATATTAACTATTTTAAATCTTGCCCAAGACGCTATTTAAACTTATAGTGAAGCAGAAATCGTTAGACCTGAGGTAATACTTTTGTTAGGCATTATCTTTTCAGCTTTTAGATTATATGTATGGTATTTGTGTTTAATTTTTATACCCCTTCAGGCACCGTCAAGACCATATTGTTGAATAGATCTCGCCTCGCTTGACAAGATTTGGAAAAGCAACACCGGGACTCAGAATTCTAATAGGATGGTATACTTAGAACTCAGGGAGTTAACTCTACACGGTAATGAGCAAATTGGTGCGCTTCAAGTCAGCGGGTAGCTTGCATTTGCTACTACTGGAATCCTAGAAAAATTGCTAGACTTTTCATTTCTCCCTATACTAACTGTGGCGTAGAATCAAACAATACGCTATCTGAGCAGTTATCAGTTAGTATGACGGGCTGACCTGCGGTTAGTAAAGTCAGATAGATCATTCTCGCTCGGAAATAGGTTTAATGGTGTTTCTCAACGATTGAGAAAAGCTTACCTCCGCTTGAACTAAGTCCCTCTATCATGCCTTCTCGCAGTTATGACGAGCGTTTTCATCGATTCTTACTTGTACCGCTTGTACACACAAATACTCTAACAGTGACTGCTTCAATAACACAGCTAGTTCCAGCATCCAAAACGTAGACTTTTATTATTCATGACCTTAAACAGTTGTTTCTAATTCTACGTCCAATACTGCCGTGAAGCATTGTTTCAGACGACTGGCTCCGAGCACAGGAATCATGGTTTCCGATTGATCCGTTATGATGACCTTAATCTCAGACTTCAGTAAATTCAGAATTTGGCTATGGTATTTTTCGATATTTTGATGAAAACATTGAAAACGTTTTGAGGATGCCCAACTTCCATACAATTCTATACTATTTGTGTACCTCGTACAAATATGTACAGCTCGAATCATACCGAACAACGCTGAGTAACAGGGCACAAGGACGATTTATATATAAAGTTATTGCAATATATCGTTGTACTCTACTCAGCTTCATACACTAACTTCCTCGGATACTAGCGGTTTCTAACAGTAAGCTGAAGTGTCCTCCTAAAGTTTTTCGTAGTGAGCGCATGAATTGGCTTGAGCAACGATCCGACCCCGGAGGTAAACAATAATGATTTAGCAATCAATTACCAATGAATGCGCTTCATATTATATGAAATAGACTTCAGTGCCTGCTTTGGCTGTCGATAAAGGCATCTTCATGAGTGCTAATCATTGGATCTAGAAGCATGACCAAGGAAGCAATAGGTACCGCAACTACGCAAATTCGTTATCGCACGCTTCCTGTTATCGTTGTCGTTCTTTTCATCTTAATAATAATACGACTGTCTGTATTTCGATTTAGTTCCACTTGACTAGGCTTCTCGTGAAAACTTGTCCTCGGTTAGAAGCTTTTTGAAGGTGATCTAGTGCTGGAAAGCAGTTTTTATCCGAGCCTTCATCGTATTTAGTAACTACTGCCTAGGAAATAGAATACCGGCAAAAATCCATCTAGTTCATCACGATCTCTTGCAAAAGGTTACACTGAGAGCGAACGCTACTTGACGGTACCTCCGAAATTGTTAGATTTCTAATTCGCAAATCAAAATTTAAACTGTAGATTATTTTACTAAGCTCTGTTGTGTGTGTTTGCATAGTATATCAACTATATGTTAGATAAAATATAAGCATGCAAGAAAGCACGTACGATGCGCTATTAAAATTGAATAGACCTTCCCAAAGCTGAATATCATGATACGGCCGTAACCCGTAGGTCGTGAGCCATCAGTACAAATTGCTTGAGCCATTACCCTTTGTATCGATTAGCCTCGCCGGTATGGGGCGAAGAAAGCAGTTTGATAGGCTAGAAACTACCTCCATTATGATAGTTCTCTTAGTCACAACAATGGCAATCTATTTCAAGTGGTTACTTCAGATATAACAATCATATTGGAAAAGTCGAACATAATGCGAAAGTATACCTACTGCGCATATTGGTGTGAAAAAAAAAAAAAAAAAACAGCTCACTCTGGAGATTAAATAGGGACGTTTTCAGAATGTGTGTTTTGGTTACTTCCGTACGGGCGAACACAAGATGCTGGAACCGTCGTTGAGAGTTTGATTCAAAATATGGTAAAGACCCACTCATCTGCTGGGCAATGTAAACTGGGGACATAATGTCCGTTGAACGTCTTGGTTTAACCATATCTCTAACTTCCAATTCTGGGCATATAATGTACAGTAGGGTGGTCTAAGCATGGTACCTTCTTTAGATGCTACTTGTGAGAAAGTGAACTCTTAAAGACAAATATTTAAAAGACAACATTGACTGAATAATATATTTATATTGCTAATAGAAAATAGTGTTTATTTGACTCAGCAATAAATTGGGTATTTGGATTTTTTTACCAACAGCCAAAAAAAAAATGTTTCTGAATAGAAGCCTCTCAAAAGACGCACCACATGCAACGAGTCCTTCGTGATCTCTGTGTGTTTTGGGGTTTCGAGTAAGTACAGCCGAACCCGGTGTCTGCCGCATTGATTTTTTTCTAAAAACGCATTTTTATGCTCGAAGCCGTAGGCAAACCGATAGGTGTTCACGTGCGGTGGACGTAGTAATACTGTGCATATTCAAAGTTTTCGCAAATTTCGGTCAGAATTTCTGTTATTGTTACTCCCTGAACAAGATGAGCAGATAAGCTTACTGTAGAATAGCTTGGTCGAGTCTGCTGATCACTGTTCGGATCAGGATGATGAGGAAACGAAAACCGCTGACTTACCTCCACAATGCAATTAATTTTACTATTAACTATATTATAATTGAATTATTCCTGTCCTGCGTTTGATAAGGACGTGACACGGAACGCTTTAAGTGTGAGTGTTCGACTGGCCGTTTCATAACTATTCGGTGGAATATAGAGATTGCATAAGCGTGTTCCGCTATCAACTGGGTTTAGGTACCTAATCCGATTAATTTGTTCCACTTCGTACACGAGTAGTTGCTTCTTCAAAATGCCAAGCGATATGAACAAATAGCATAGGGTCAGCCATCTACTTTATTTGAAATTTTAAAAAAATTTGCTTTTTATTGACGTAAAACGATTTTTTAGCTGCATTACTAATTTCAGGCCCACCGTTTCTATACTGGGATTTAAAATAGATTAAGGCCTGTCCACGGTGGGTTTGGTGCTTTGTTTGACTCGCCTTCGCTACCTTAATATAATATCACAACCAGCTTGTCAATTGTTGTCAAGAGAGACATATCCCTTAAAAAGCTGTCGTCTTGCCAATTACAATAGATGGCTCAGTAAATACTGATTAAAGTGAACCGGAAAGGAGTTTGAAAACGAACGTGTACTGCTCTACCGACCAACCTTAAATACTTATTTTCAGTATATAATTTCATATTTCGTCTCTTTCTCTGTTGTGTGCCCGTAACGAATAAAGCTAACCTTTGTCCTTAAGGTAAGGTAAGGTAAGGTTTGTAAAAGCATTTAGCACTAGTGCAGCTTAGGAGCACTATCTGCTTCGCTAGATATAGTGGTTATTCAAATTTTTATTATCTATAGTAGAGGCTAGCATATGCCAACCAGTCTTTTCTCGAAGTGCTCTAACACGAATATATGCCTTTTGATCCTCGTAGGACATACGGGTGCGGTATATCATAGTGTATGGAAGAACTTCTGTGCACGCCGAGGTGACAGAATCTGTATCGGTATTTATTTGTGGGACCACTGCAGTTGGCAACAGTTGCTCCATCCGTCCGATAAGGCGTCTTTTTCCGTTTTATATTGAGCTCTGAGATTGTTAAGCGGCGACATACACTGGATTCCGGACACGTTCGCTTCTGGTATTGTGTGCGCCGCTTCTGGGTAGACAATATTGTTACCGGCCTTGGAGCAGTCCTGTTGTCTGCAGACAGCCGGTAACTAGGTCCAGTAACTTAGGTCTCTTATGAGCCAAAAATACCATACACCATTATAGCCGGAAGATTTGAAGAACACGATAATCTTGATAACTTACAAGCTAAAAAAACCTTTACATCTATATGTGTGAGTGTTGATATCGTACAAATATATATAATATGGTATTTTTGATTTGGGTAACTGCAGATTAGCTGGCTATCTGAAACAGGTCTACGGTTTTCTCTTTTTGTAAGCGCTCTACGTTAGCCATAATAAGTGGTGAATGGTGTTCGTGTTAGGGTCGGCCAGGACCTGACCCACAAGTGACTCGCCATTGTATAGCGCCTTAGGTGTACATGCTATCGTTGTAAATAGCGTCGTATATGAACATTTCACTGCATACTTGCTCGCTGCCATTCCCCATTATTGAGTTTCTTCACAGCTACTTCGGATGCTGTTACCGTCAATACGACTACTATAGCAGCCCTCGGTATTACGACTGTTGCTGCTCATGAGCTGGAATACGAATGCGAGCAGTTTAGTTGCTGGGGCTTGTATATGACTTGTCTGTGTCGACCTGATGCTGCTATTATTTAGACTGGAGTGGCAGTCGCTGCTGATCCATTATCGGTTTCTGCGCATGTCCGTGTGTGTATGTGTATTGTACATTCTATTTTGCGGTCGTAATGTTAGTGACTGGACTCATGCGGGTATGTCCTCTACAAACCATTAGCGCCAACCAACAACAATGGCTATTCTAACCTACGTTGAGTTTCTCTCGTGCCGGACCCTGTTTGCCTCTCGGTTTATAGACCCGCTACAAGTTCACCCTCTACCCCCCTAGCCCGTTCGCCGTTATCGCCTCTCTCCCTAAATGACGTCAGCATCGCGCATGCGCTCCTTCTTCGCAGATACGGAGCGGTAAACGGTAAACTAAACGCGGAGGGTCGGGACGGGCTCCCGGCATCGCAAAAGAGTTGGAGTTTTCACCCTGCACCGCCCGGTAGAATGGAGTAGTAGTACCAATCTTGTAGATAAAGAATACTAACGCAGAGTAAGCGTCAGCTAGCACTGGCCAGTCGGCTGTATTTAGTATGCACACTGTGTTTCTTTATCGCGTCGACACCTGATTGTTGTGCTGGTCTTGTGCTGTGTGAACTTCATTGCAGTGTGTGGGCCCATTCAAGGTGACCTCTTGGACGCTGGTATACTCAATATAGACCTACGACCTAATAAAATCGCTGCAGATCGGAGCGTTGCCTGAAATAAAGAAAGGTCACCGCGCAGTGTCCATTCACCGGCCAAATTAGCTAAAGCGATCAGAGCTGACAATTTTCTTCACCGAAATTTGTCCTTAATAAGGTCAGAATGCGCCCAAGAAGTTTGTTCGCTCTACAGGTGGGCTTTTGTCGTCCACTTTAAGAGCGTACAGCTGTCGTCGCAAGTTGGCAGCTACCAACATTACCCGCCAGTACATGAAACTTCGAGGTAAGTTACTTTGGTGACCCCTCTCCTTGCTGAGAATGATTTGGACGCAGGTTAACCATTTGATAGATGAATTCGAACAAGATCTGTGCAAGCTGATCGGTGGACCCCAGCTTAAAGTTTTTTTATTTCCTTGCCCTATTACTGATCTTTGCATCAGCCAACGTCTTTCGAGTTGTCATTTAGTAAACGATAAAGGCCTGATTAACACATTTACCAAGTAGAACTTGTGTAAAATTAGATCTAAAAAAGGCTAGATTAGGGACGGGGGGATGAAGACTGCGAAATATTCAACGGCGTTAATTGCACGGTGTAGAAATTCAGTTTCGTATAACGTTTTATACAATTATTGTGCTATATCCTCCCGATTCAATAGATGGATATAGCAATGAGTGCCGAACAGGAGCGACTGCTTTCAAGGGCATTTCTAGAAGAGCGTCATGACTATCAGGATAACTTTCAAAGCCAGAAACGACGCAAATCAAACAAACGCAGTAAACGCAAGAAGAAAGGATTTGGGGTCCGAGATAACCTGGAACATTTTTATAATGAAGAAGTAGACGAATGGAGTGCGGATGGAGTTATCCTCGAAAACCAGACCGTACACAGAAGACTGCTCCGACTTCCCGTGTGGAAAGGGATTGCTTACGCGGGTCAGTATTGATCTTGTCTATCAGCATCTAGTCAGGTCTTCTTTAGTTCTTTAGGAATGTAAAGAGACTACCAAGGCTCTATATACTGTGGGCATACCTAAAAAAATAGAAATACACAGACATTTTCACCAGATCTTCTGAAGAGGGCACGAGCTTGTTTCTAAGTTTTCCTCTAGAACTATAGGCAATACACTGCAAAAGTCGGTTGTTTAATGAAACTAGCGTATCTTTACCAATTGCAGGAGCTGCTCTCATGTTTGTAGCTGTCGTATTGTTGGCCTTAGGTCATGGAATTCCAAAGCAGGATCCCGTTTTAGGCGATAAGGATGGCATCGAACTGATCCGCACATCCGCGCTGAAGTTCAATCGCTTCCTAAGAACGTGCCAGGTTGTAGGTCTTGCACTGTTTTGCTCCGGGGGATTCCTCGTCGCTGGAGGTACTAAGTGAACAATAATAGTAAATCCCTTAGACAGAATGCCTTTCTGTAAACAGCAGTTCCGATGCCAATGTAATATATCGGCTCTTTTCCTATTCACTACATAGTTTCCACTTTGTCACCATTGCTTACAGCTGCAAATTATATAGTGAGTTCATATTATTATAGGCCCGATATATCAAAGATTGGTTTGTTTCAACGCAAACCTTTTCTTGTATTCAAGCTTAAATAAAAATAACAGAGAACGTTTCGTTCGCTAGATTCAGATAAAAATATTTCCGCGTGTAACTTCACGACGATAAAAAGTGGTGGGTTATATTAAAAATAACTGTTTAGGTTAAAAGTCATGCATCCGACATTGAACAAACGAATTCAACTTGAACTACGGATCTCACGCTTAGAAGTGGCGTTTTGTCTGGCGGTAGATAATTATTTTTTTTCAATTAGATCTCGTAAACGGGCAGCAGCAGTAGCAGCAGTAGCAGCGATCCGTCATTTGATAATTATGCTCGACCTTCTATTAAATCGAATAGAACTATTGAACTAAGCCATTGAGCTCTAAAATGTGATCGTGCTTTGTCGAACATCTAAAATATTAGGCAAACGTATACTTACGTACGTACTTGTTTGTTCCCAAAGCAATTCTTCACGAAAAGAACTTTTACGTACTATCTTCTGATTCTGCCATCATGTTGCATATGTGAATTTGATCTTCTGAGATGTTTTCGTACGTTGAAATTTTCTGCGAACTAGTGTAGTTCAGTCATGGCTATGACATGATCCCCTGGGAGTCTTGTTCTTGAGCGCCACCTGCCAGTTATTGATGTTGTTGTTCCATTTATATACTGTGATCGTTGTCAACGCTTTCATGTAGTAACAAGCGCTTTTCATTAGCTGCCCTCGTTAAGGGAACACACTATAGTGGTTTCAGCCTGGACTTTACTACCTAGAGCATTGTAACCTGGTCAGACTGCCCCATGTCCGTAGGACTTGTGGCTGAACGCATGCTCATTCTATAAAAACTATCTATAAGGTCTAACAGTACGTCACAATCATGGCCCTGTTATTTGGTTCCATGTTCCGCCCCAGGTTTGCTGATCGGCACTTTCTGCGCATCGGAGAAGCTGGACGGTTCTCGACATTCGCTGGTCGAGTCATTTGTCGTGTCGGTACAACCGGACCCGCCGCGGATTCCTCAAGAACGTAAGGTCCCCGCAACGGAGAACGTCGCCTCGGTGCAGCCATCAGCTGCCCCAGCCTCATTACGAGGGCATTCCTTCCAGAAGTATAGTCAGTAGAATTAATAATAGTATGGTGCTATTTGTTTTTCTATTTAACGAAAAATACCACCCTTTACTAATCACAGTGGTTTAGATGGAACATTCTCACAACTCATCAGCACCTATTAGGTCCCCCACCATTTATTTTCATAGTGATCAACATTTACAAATGTAAATCAGGTTAGAGATAATGTTATGGACTGTTATATATATATATATATATATATATATATATATATATATACTTGAAAGGAAATAGAGGAGCTGCGTCTTGACACAATCAATCTTTAGGATGTAACAAACGACGAAATATCTGCCATATGCGGTCGAATCTCCGAATCGACAAATGGCAAATGTTACGGCTGTAGACGCCGCCAACTCTGGCAGGAGAAACGTCGAGCCTAAGTCCGGCCAAACACAAACACATACGTTACCGAAAATTGCCATCGAGGGTCTGGACGATCATTGCCAAGCATGTTGTCCAGCTTACTTATTTGGCCGATTACAATTTGAATGAACCCGCTACGTTCTTGTCGACAAATAGAGCGTGCCGATGCGCGGCGAAGCGACGAGTGAGATTGCATCCTTGTCCGATGACATCACAACGTCGTTGTCTTTGGGCTTTCGTGGTCCGCCGCTCTGGTGTGATTCTGATTGACTGTTGACTCATATTGGTAAGATCTAGCGATCGTTAGCCTCTTGGTGCCATCGTTGTGCAGAAGCGATGTGCATTGTTAATATGGATGGCATATGGGCACGTGTCGTCGTTGTCCCACGTCAACATAGTCATTATATCGGGTACAATTTCTATAGTTCTCACGTGCTCGTAATTAAATTGTGAGTACGGAAACGAGTTTTTCGTAAACCAGGAAAAGGGTCAAAACGCCAGAATAATGTCACTATTAGGTTAGTGGCAATTATGAGACAAGATAAATTAGCAAATAGAGAAAGCAGTTTCATTGACTCCAAGCATACATATATTTCTTGATACGAAGCAAATGTTGTGATCAACTTACTGATCGTGCTTCTCCCATGCTTTTGTCATTCATAGGACGATCAGTTTCTCCCTATTTACCTGATTCCGATCGCAAACATTAAGAGACTCAGACCTTTTACATACAGTATACTGTGGTAGCTGCGTCGATTTCATTTGTATAGTATATTTATATAGTAAGCTCAAATAGTTATTTTCTAATAATAGTAGTTATTGTAAGTTTGTTTGATTCAATGTATGTTTTTTTACATTAACTATACGTTAATATTTTTTCTGGTGGACTTCCTACCAGCCAGCCCAACAAATAAGCAGTGTTAGACAAGTCTGCTTTTCTGCTAATGCTTGTGCAAATATAAAATGTAACTACAGTACACACTGAAAAAAATTTTCGAGATTATCGTATTACCGAACTCCGACCTTCAGCAGTAGTAGAAGCACATTATCGAAAGACAGACAGATCAATCAAAAGGTTGTTACCGACTTCGCGATATACTTCGTTCACCTTTGAAGAAGCCTATGAAGAAGGCGTTTGGGAACGCTACAAGCTAACGCTAATAACAAAGCGTTCTAAAACAGTTACACACATCGAAAACGAGAACTCAGAAGCGCTAACTGTGAACAGTGGCTTCTTATTAGTATATATATATATTAGCTGTGGTAGATAATGAGATCTAGAAGTATAGTTGTGACAACTTCTAAAAGGAGATCTAGGTCTCTAATCAGTGGGTATTGACAAATAACAAAGTCACACACGAACTGGTGTGTATATATATGCCAGGGATAAGAGTGAAGCTTAGGTAATTCTAGGATGTACAATGTTATCAAAATGCCCACATGTTATTAGCCGCTGGGCAACATGCCAAAAAGGCAGTGGGAAGAAAAGTTTAAAGATATTTTAATTTTTCGTACTTGTAACGTCGCGGTAGTAGTTAGGGAGCATTCGTCGTTTTGAAGGACTGTGCTAGACAAGGACAAACACAAATCTTACTGATCAAGTAAAAGACATGAGAACCCAAGTGGATTAATGTCAGATTGTTACCTAATGCAAACGCTATAATACGCAGAGATTGAGGTTTATTTTTTTATGTGATTGGATTGAGCTAGCGGGTCAGGTACATCAAGGCAATACCTCATTAAATCAACACCCTTTTTAAATATAAGAAATCTATTAAAACCACTACTGAAATACACTCCGAGCCGTTTAAACACGAAACTTAGACGCAGCCGATAGACAAATCAGACTTTCTGTCTATATAAAGCTATCATCATCTAGGAAAGTTACGTCGCGTATTTGACGTTGACGGCATAAATCTATGCTGTATTCGAGAGGAGAATACGGTTAGGGTTAGATGAAGCAGAACAACAGCTTAAACCCGATGTTTGTTGTGTGTGACATTTGTTGAAAGGTATAGCAACATTAATGGGGGCTATGAACGATCAAAATATGCGTGGATGTATCCGCGCCATTATTTGCGTAAAAACAACAACGATGTGGAGGAAAATCGCAAACTATTAGACTAATTAGTCATACGTAAACTTAATACTAGGATTGCGCAAAATCACTTTGTGGTAAAGGACTGGACAAAAATAACCCAGCTATCTCTCCTTACAAAAAGTAAAAACAAACAAAAAAAAAGAATACAAATTTATACGATCAATAAAATATTTGAAAAGAGACAAGCTCACCCGAGCGGCGCTGATGATGTTCTGATTAACGGATACCTGTCAACTGCGGACGCAACGTATTTAGTGAAGAGCAAGTGCAAACAAATATATACGGAAAGCGAAATTGTATGAATACGAAGAATAAAAGGACTATAGAGATAATGGCGTATTTAATCTTTTTTTTTTTTGTACTAAATTTGTCATAAACTAAACCGTCCCTTTTAATGACCTGAAAATGTCAAGTGTACAATTTATAGTGTAGTAACGACGAGCTTATTTATATTAGTATTTAGGTAGCTATGCTGTTAATCATTTCTATTGAAGTCAGAGATCGATACGCTTTATCAGTTTTCTGTTTTGAAAAAAAAACTCTATGTTTTGTTATTTCATCCTCTACCCGTCCATGATTGTTTTTGTCTAAATTCAATTCAAAAATATTGAAGATATCAGTAATTTATATATAAGAAGTACCTTATCTGCCAGATCGGGTTTAATACGAAGCATGCTTTTCTGCGCGACAGAGAAGTTCTGCTACGATGTCCATTTTAACTTAACAAGATGAAGTTGTCCCGTATTAATACAGGTGTTACTGGATTTTATGACACTATGTTACGCCACTGGCTAAATTCCGTTAAAGTGAGACGTATTTAACAGTGAAATGCCGCTAAATGCAATTTTTGCGCGTCTAACAAAGAGTTAGAAGAACGGTTCAGATCTGGTTGGCCGGTTTCGCGCGCCGTCGTAAACGTGTGTTTACAATACGCACACACTAGGAAACCTTTAGATATTAATAGAATGTTATGTTAGGTTTTGAACTCTAATATTATGTGCGAAGTTGACACCGACTGGCCTAAGACGGCTAACTTAACGACCCTGTCCTGAAGCTGGCGGCCTGCTACAGCCCAAACAGGTCACGTTAAATATGTACATACAATTTGTGCTTTATTTATGAACACAAGGTGACTGCGTCAGGAGTTCATGATTGGTTAAAAAAAAACGTCGAATACTGCATCATATACTATTCGCTATATAGTTCCTTAGCTAAGTGAAGCGATATTGATTTGAAATAATATTTTACTTAAAACACAGGTTTTTATAAAAACTAGTAATGTTTTGCGATACAATATATATGACGCACTCGTAGTAAACAACCTAGGGCGCCATTGATAATATTAACCCTATCTTATTTTACCTCTGTAAAGGCTGAGGGCTATTCATAATTACAATAGACGTACCGTCGGTTAGAGGCCAGTTATTTCCTAATAGCAATATCCTGATAGCCTCTTTAACGTTCAGCCAACACAATTCTTGCAAAAATAAACATTTGTACATATGGACGATGTCTACAAATACCGGTGCGATACTATTTTTAATTATAGAACATAACTCCTGCGATTAATTAAGTTAACATTACGTTCTATGAAGAAAAAGTAAACTTTCCCTCTAGGGGGAAGCCTTTGGTAAACTGGTGTCATTCTGTGCGCGGATCTTCCCAAAATGAAATCCAACACACAACACGATAGGTGCAGATCTTTAGTGGTACATAAACGAAACGAACCCCGCCATGTTTGTCTTGCGTTAATTGATTTAACTCAATAAACCTGTTAATTTCATAAGTAAGCCATAATAAACACCAACGACATTGCAGTCATCTTGCTTATCTAACCCATTGTTCGACGATGCCATTACCTTTGGGTATCAGCGGATGCTGATTGCCTGTGCAGTTCATTTGCTCTTTCACTCTGTCTAGAAGTCTCCTATCTTTCATCCGAGATATTTAGGTGATTAACAGTCGGACACAATAGGAAGCACTGAAATTCATCACGTTTTTTTATTGGTCAGCGTTTTATGGCAGTGTTTGAAAAAGCACGTCAAAATTTAAATGTTCTGTACTTAAAAAGGTACATTCGTGATATAGTCGTCCCCGTGATGGCTCAACGCGTAACGTATTCGCCTGCTAGTCTTAGAGACACATTGTGGTCCGCGTGCGAACCCGCACATAGACATACAGTTTGTTCCGTGCTGGCAGCCGGCGGTCCGATAACATGCCTAACAGCGATACCGGATATTGTCAATTTATTGCAATTGTCATACGACAAATACTGACGAAAGGTTTTTATTTTGTTCTTTAAAGTAATATCTGAAAAGGCGAGTCGGGGGCAAATATGTTTATGTCCTTCAAATCTGTCAATACCGTTGATCTCTTTTCAGGTGGAAATTTTGCAGGCTAATCATTTTAGGCCACGAAGCCTTTGACCCAGAAGACTGACGCTGACATTAACAAAAAAATATTATAGGTATTCCCTGGTGGATACGATGTTGGAATTGAGAAAGTTATTCTACAGAATAAATTGGCCTATTAGACATGGATCAACGTTCTAATTTCTACGTGAGAACGATGAACTAAAAGAAGATAGCCAGCTGCATTTGTAGGAGTAGATGGGTAAAATGTCTTAACCACGAAAGAACAATAAATAGAAAATAATTGTTCCTACTTATACATTAAGGGATCTATAAGGAACGCAATAGACTATATGAGTCTTAACTATAATAGATTTCTCGTGGAAAATATTTACGTTCTATTAGGGTGAAAGCTAAACATATATATATATATATCTGGGTCTCTCTATATCGAGCTATTACCCCATTGTCGCTTTGGTTAACAACAGAGAACCTCAAGAACTTTTTAACCGTGTTTCATGTTTACAGCAATGTCTTGTCGAAATAGTAGTAGTTCCCTTGATTATTGGACAGGTACACCAATTAGGATGCGGAGAACCCATTATAGCCGGCGCTCGGCTTAATATAGCCATCATAACCTTCTTTTTTGCGGCAATCCCTCTACCGTAAATATGCAGAAATAGCGAGCATACTTAGTAGACGCACGTAGAGGAAGGCACCGATATCGAGTTGAGTCAGCCCGGCACGAGTTACGGTTCAACGACGCAGCGACGCAAATGTGAAGATGGTGGTGGAGCCGCAACTGAAGATGGGCGAAATGGCCGACGCCAGTGGAATGCAATAGGAGGTTCGTACATAGATGTACTGTACATGAGAAATCTCTAGAGATCCGTACGAAAAGGGTACGTCTCTACCTATATTTGCTTCGATCAGACAGATCTTCACTGGCAGCCTGATGTTGAAAGAATACTAAATCGTGCATCGTTTGAATAAACATTGGTTAGAAAACGAGATAAATTAAGCAAAATAAACTAAAAAATCTAAATAACAGCAATTTTTTAGAAGTATTACTTAAGCATCGTTGTTTTGCTATCATATAATTGGTGATTTTAGGAATAACGCTGACTAAAACGGGTGAAGAAAACGTTACGTGCAATAATCCCTTTGATGATCATAACAAATATAGTAAAGTCCTATCGTTCTTATAGGGAGGAATAGAAAGTCTAAGCTCTCATTTTATATTCGGTTCCATGTTTCCGATAAAGCAATTGGTTAAATACAACGCTTGTTAAGAGTCTAGATATTCTTCAGCTGCCATTCGACATAAGCTTCAAAGGTACACCGCTAATACGATTGTATTTCAAACACGAAAAAAAAGTACCCTTTGATACCAGTTATTAACGTATTCTTACATAACGTGGATACTAACTGAAATCGTAAATCGAAAAATGAGGTTGTTTCTTTTCACTAAAAGGTTTCCCGATATGTTCACAGATCTCGAATACTATAAATAAACCGTTTATGTCGAGAAGTTCCGGCTATTTTTAAATGGCTGTCGACATCATCATCACAAAAATGATGGTACTGCAAACATCTATGGTAATAATAGTAGCGTTCTGCTTCCGATAATTAAGAAGACCCAATAGAAATAGACGGAGTTGGGGTAAGAATAGAAAGCTCAAATAGTCAACTACTCCGTTCACGAGATGTAAAAAAATTACCAACTATCGAAGTTATGGTTGCTTGAATCCTACCCACTATTTCCAATGAAGAAACAATATAAGATACAAACAAAGAGAAGGCGATGGAAAATTGCGCTGTCTGTAATTATCTGAGTTGTTTTTCTTTTTTATTATTCAATTACAAATACGTCACCAAGCCGTTGAGCATTTGAATTCGATTTTTAACCATTTTGACTTATAAAGTTAATCGAGTAGTTCGTACATTGTCACACGCCACAGATCTAGAACTTAGACTCGTAAAAAAAAAAAAGGAAACTGTCACCGTTTGCGTGCAGAGCAGAAGGTACAAAATATGATCGTTGCGTCAACATTGTAGTCGGGCAATGATTTCCAACGTTGCGCGATGTTTCCTAAGAAATTACAGTAAAAAGTCATGATCGAAATTTTAGAAATACTAATTATTATATTAATAAAATTCGGTTTGATTGTTACAAGACGTCCTGAAAATGTGTTCGCAGCAATAAGGACTGCCTGGTAGTTTTCAGCAGGTGAAAGGGACGGGGGTTTAAGATTTGCTTGAACGTTATTTACGTCCTCGAGTAACATAAATTATGATCGTTCCAACAGGGGTATAGGAAAAAGTAATAATGATTGCCTCTTTAGTAGATTAGTTTGACCGTATACATGCCAATACACAACTAAAAACACGTGTAATATATTATTCCTTGGTCAAATTATTTCCTAATTTCGGATCTTCAATTCATTATACGTCTAATCCCATCGAGAAACAAATACGTCCCTTTGAAGATCTAAACTGAAGATTTATATTCGCTTCCTTTCTGCTAAAATCGCTGCCAGTTTACAGAAAAGAATATCTTTCTCAATAATTTTGTTGTCTAATAACGTGTAAATAATTGTCGAAGAAAAGCTGAGTCTTGCATGTAGCCGAATCTCCTTATCTTTAAAAGTTTCTCTTCCGTCGAAGTTCGCTTAACTTTAATGAACGCATATTTGTGATCTTTATTATTATTTTAAATTCAAATTACAAAAAATGAAGATATCGTCGTACAAAGTTCATGATGTTGATTCTTCATCTCCTAATTAAAATCATTTTTGTGTGT